TGTGCAGCAAAAAAGAAAACTACGGATATTTATCTCCAACACCTTCAACCCTGCCAAACCAGATGCAGAGGACGGCGAAGGAACCGTTGCATCTTGGGAGCTGCGTGTGGAGGGACGACTTCTTGAAGACGTAAGCGAGATTCTGTCATCTCACAGTGTTTCAAGTCAAACTCTTTATTGTCTATGTAGAAGTACAAGATTATTTCTGTAAACTCTGAATGTGTTTCTCTGTATCAGACTGCTGTGTCCAAGTATGAAGCCACCAAGCAGAAGAGGAAGTTTTCTTCTTTTTTCAAGTCTTTAGTGATTGAGTTGGACAAAGACTTGTATGGACCTGACAATCATTTGGTGGAGGTGAGATGCAGAACAGTGCATTTCTCAGCTGTGGGACTGTCCACTAGATCTCTGTTGTTGTCACTTTTGCGCCAGTTTTCAGTCATTCAGGTGTGACTGGTTGTTTGTGATTTCAGTGGCACCGAACCGCCACAACTCAGGAGACAGATGGATTTCAAGTGAAGAGGCCTGGAGATGTTGGTGTCCGTTGTACTGTACTGCTTATGCTGGACTACCAGGTGAACACAAACACGTTTCAGAAACTACCAGCAGGTGGCGCTCCACACTGTTAGTAAATTTGAGCAATTGAGACTGAGCCAAATTGTTCTCTTTCTAGCCTCCTCAGTTTAAGTTGGACCCCAGACTTGCCCGGTTGCTGGGGATCCACACTCAGACCCGACCCGTGATTATTCAGGCTCTGTGGCAGTACGTGAAGACCCACAAACTCCAGGACCCTCATGAACGAGAGTTCATCAACTGTGATAAATACCTCCAGCAGGTAACAAATATTAGAGTTTGTCTTTTGATGCTTTTAGACTGGAAATACCTGCTTAGACTTGACTGCAGGAAGTATCATATAAGCTAGTTGTTCACAATATTGCTTTCTTTTAGATTCTCTTGCCTTTTTTGTGTTCGGTATGAGTCAGATGGGCTTTGCGTAGTCCATATATGTGCTGTCAAGAGGCTTGAAAGTTGGTTTAATGCATCTTTTAACCAGGATAGTGGCTGCAATGCTAATGGCTTCAGTTCTGATTTATAACCCAAAACACATGGGGCCTCATTCATGAAACATTCGTAAATATAGGAGTCAATTCTGAGTAATTTGGCCCTAATGTGGCCTTTCCCATGGCTTTAGTTCCAAAACTAAATGTACAGTTCTAAAGTACTATTTCCCAGTACCATTTAAAGGGTTGCATTCGCACCGAGAGTGTGTACTAAGAAGTGACAGCGGTCGACTGCGTCGTCATTTGTGCGTGGAACAACAGAAACAAAGAAGAACAACATTAACAACAGGAGGATGGAGGACGCTGTGATCGGAGCTGTGTTTTTGTTGTGTCTCGCGGATTTCACAATAATGGACATGGAAAGTCGACGTATATGTAAAGCGATTGAAAGAACGGAAAGGAGGACAACGACAACTGGCAGTGCTACAAGTGCCTGCACTTAAGCGTCCGTCCATCTATCGCTGTCCTCCATACTTGCGAAATAAGTTGACACAATGTTTACAGTATGTTTACACGGGGTTTTAAATCATGGCGGGTGAGGGCGTTTTTATTCTCGGTTGGGCAAACAAATTCTTTTT